ACTGTTGGCATCCAAAGACTTGTAGGACTTTAACTTCTCTCTTGTAAAAACACTTGGAGCTTCAATGAGATAATGTATTTCGGGCTGGATGCTTGGCCGTCTTATCCAGTATTCATTAGAAGGGTGCTATCACAAATGGACCTGTCAGATGAACGCCGCTCACTTTAACGTTAATTTTGCCGAATAACTGTGCTAATCACTAGGTGACAAGCTGTAATAATATGCTGAAAGCATGTAAAGCATGTAATCAATATAACTTATTTCTAAGACAACAACGAACTCTATACCACATCGGAAGCCATTCCCTCGCTGTAAATGCAAGCACTCCCATTTTTTTCTGCAATCTCGCTGTGCGCGCATCTTGAATGTTTACAAACATGGTAATTCGTCTATAGGATTCATTCATTCATTTTCTTGTCGGCTTAGTCCCTTTATTAATCCAGGGTCGCCACCGCGGAATGAACCGCCATCTTATCCAGCAAGTTTTTACGCAGCGGATGCCCTTCCAGCCGCAACCCATCTCTGGGAAACATCCACACACATATTCACACACACACTCATACACTACGGACAATTTAGCCTACCCAATTCACCTGTACCGCCTGTCTTTGAACTGTGGGGGAGGACCCGGAGGAAACCCACATGAAGGCAGGGAGAACATGCAAACTCCACACAGAACGCCAACTGAGCCGAGGTTCGAACCAGCGACCCAGCAACCTTTTTGCTGTGAGGCGACAGCACTACCTACTGCGCCACTGCCTCGCCCCGTCTATAGGATGCTTTATAATGTTATGTGTTCATATACATTAGATTAGTCAGTACTGTAGTCAAATCTGGAGCTTATCTAATAAAATAACTTACTATAACAGTCCAAAAACTAGTACACCCAAATTTATTTGTTAATAAATATTATTAAATTATTAAATTAAAAAATTAAAAAACTGAAAAATTCAAGAGAAATTAAAGGTATAAGATTTTGTTGAAACTTTGTAGTTAGTATTTTTTTTTTATTTCACATGAATTTCAATGTGTTACCTTTCAATTTCTAAAGATGTTTGGTGACTAACATATTATTTTATTAATATCAATTAAATATATCAGTTTAAAGAATCTGTTTTGTTCAAATGCTTCAAAATATATTAAATATATTTACTGAGAAATCGCTAAAAATATATTTTCAAATGGGGTGTACATGTTTATGTTTTCAAAAAAGCCCTAAAACACATTTATTTTCCAGTTCTGATGTAAGGTTGGAATGAAGAAATTCTTCAGTCTTTTTTTCAACCCCCTAATAAGGTGTGGGAAAAGTTTTCAGTCATGTCGAAACAGGAGGTGTGTATTTTTCTCAGGATAAGTGAGTAACTCTGACGTTACTGTGATAACCATAACATACCTTCAGTCACACCCACACTCAGCTGACTGGTTCACACTCACTCAAACTCAGCCAATCACACAGCATCATGTGACACAGCAGGGAGACATGTTTCCTGGAATAACTGCGATATCTTTACATCATATATTGCTCAATCGAACGGACATTTAAGACTTTTACTGTATTTATACATGCTTTTCATACTGTTATTCATATCTTCTGTATCATCATGACATCATAAAACTCAACTATAAAGAGAAACTAAACTATTACTCTATATGTGAAAGAATATAATATTATTTATATATTATTACTCCTATTTTCTGGTTCATTACATCATCAACAGTTATACAGACAAATGGCACTATTGCTGATTCTTATGTATGGATTATAACTAATAACAGCAGCATTTTTAATTAAGAATTCTCAATTACCATGTTATAAGTCTTTTTTGTCCACTAACACATTATAACAGAACTCAGTAAGGGGACAAAAAGTGTGTCATATAAATTATGTACACTGTAAAATCAGTGTAATGAACATGTTAAAAATTGATAAATGGTTCACCATAAAATAAAAATTGTGCCATCATCCTAATATTTGGGTTTTAAATGTTTGATTTGTTCTAATGCAGTACATAAAAAGTAAACATCGAAGAATTATAAAAAGGCGCTACGATAAAAATGAATGAGTTCCAGTGATGTCAAGCTCTACAATGACACATAAGCTCCATAAAAATAGTCCCATGTGTTATAAAGTCTTATGAAGCCATCCGATAGTTCTGTGTGAGGAACAGGCTGAAATTTAAGTCGTTTTTCATTGAAACGCTTGATATCTGGCCTAGTTATTCTTGGCAGATTCACGAGAGACGCAGTCATGTTGGATTTGTGAACAAATCGTTCTTGTGAATCAGATTTTTACGATGAATTACTGATCCCACAGTCAGCAATACTTTACAGTATTTTTGTGCAGCGTAAACTTTGACAGCCCAGGCCCTCATTTACTTTCATTAAATAGAGAAACATCACCAAAGTTTATAAATTCATCATTTTAAAAGGTTCTATTGTGATCTTTTACAAAGTCTTGATTAACTTTGGAGGTGTATTAAAACATGCTTGCATGCTTGTTGTTTAAAAAAATCTATTAATTTCCACATAATTTACTTTACAAAACCTTTCTCCCCAGCCGTGCACAAAAAGGCTTGATTGGTTCTCGAATTTGACTGAAGGACTGCTTTCCCAATAAAAAAATGTGTTATGATTAGTTAGCTGTCCCAGTGCATTGTGATTGGCAAACAGAGAGATGCTGTTTCAGTACTTACTTGCATGTATTTTAAGAGAGTTACATGTTGTAAATCCAGCAGCTGTAAACTCTCCACTACAGTGCAGACTAATGGTGTGTTCACACCAGACGCAGTTAAAGCGTCAAGCGTGAGTGATTTACATGTTAAGTCAATTCAAAGACACGATGAGACATTTTACGGTGCTATTTGTGCAAATGAGGCAATGTGAATTGAGCGTTTTGGGTGTTTGACGCACTTAAAGCGAGATTTGAAAGAATCGGTCGAGTTGAAAAATCTAAACTATGGTGGAGATTGGCACTGTGTTAACCAATTGTGCTATAGTAGGGGCATGATTATGACATAGCACATGGAGTGTCTCGTAAGGAAATACTCCAGCCGATAAGAGACAACAGGTCACCAAACTTGGACCAGCTCGGTGAGAAGCACCGCTGAAAGCATCCATCATTCAAGCAGTTTCTGGAGGAGTTGATGAACTCACAGAGCTGGATACACCTCGAAGAATCTAATAGACCCGGTCATATGAGGAGCAGATCACAGCGAATGCGCTTTTCCGTTCTGAGAATGTGAGGTACACCGTTTATGTCGCACTTTTTATGTCAGCTGTAAATTGTCCACGATCGTTGCTGCTAGTTATAATTTTATTAATTAGTAATATTGTTATATTCATGCTTTGTGAAGTCATACAGCACTGGATAACTTAAAACAATGACCACAAGTCTTTACTCCATCTTTAAAAGTCTCCTTAGTCATTTTGACAACACAAACACTGCTGTCCCCTCAATGGAAACTCGCCTCTGCTTTCACTTGATTGGAGAATGAACTGAAGAAGTTTGCTTTCCCACTCAAAGTTGACTTTTTTCAACTGCAGGGACACAGAGCGCTATGGCAGAAACGTGAGGCACAGCAGACACTTAAAATGTGAGGCATGCAACACGTATGAAGCAGCATGCAAAATGCTCACAGCCATTAGAAAACCATTTAAAAAAGACGCCTCTCAACGTATAAAACTGCATTCGCTGTCATCAAGGTTTATCATGGCAGCACCTATCAACTAATATGATCATTATTAAAATGTTTAAACAATGAAATACATGTTCTCACACATATCTGAGAATCTGAAAATCAGATATTTCACTATCTATTTAATTTGAGGAAAAAAAGTGGTTAGGAGAATCGCTCATAAACTTGGACTGTATGGATTAGTGTTGTCACAATACTGAATCTCGATACCAATAGGTCCTGAAGTTTTAAAAACCTCTATTTCCCGCTAACATTCGAGCACGGTCTTAGACAGCGCTGATTTATCATTGTGTACACGTGCTCAACAGAAATGACTGTAATTACCCGTGAAGGTGATTAGTTCACCAACTTAACGCTGTTTACTGAGAGTAACTACAGATACAAGGACACTGGAGCATTTTAAAGCCGCGATTATCAGATTCAAAAGTCAGATACGTCAGCTCATAAACAGACCAGCTGATCTTCGTGGCTTTAAAATGCTCCAGCGTCCCTGTATAATTTTTTACCGAATACCAGTATCATGACAACACTAGTATGGATATAGCAGTAGATATCAGAGTGGTAAAATTATTGTTGTTTTATCCCACCTCACCCCCCAACCCTTTAAATTTCCAAAGGCAGGATTTGGGCTGCTTTATCACATCATTAAGCCCATACAAAAACATTTGTAGTCCAAACGAGCAGTTCTGTTCATTGTAGTTCTTGAAAAGTTTAAAACTAAATATCTCCCTTGGGATTAGACTTTGACATGTGTAAACTTTTTAATCTTTTTTTACTCCCAAACATGATTATTAAATAAAGACATCAATGTCTCATTTAGTCCACAAACAAACAATCCCTAATTATGTATTAATTGGACTTGATGCAGATCAGTGGGAATAAAGACTTCAGAGAGTCAGCAGTAGCATGTTAACTCTGTTCCTTCCAGCCCGTCTGGAAATCTGGAACTAGACTAACTGCTTTTGGCACAGACCACATCCCGACAATACACACACACACAGCACTAACACAGTTGAACCAGGCCCAAATAAGAACACAGCACACTGTTGTGAGGAAAAGCTCAAAGCAGCGACATAAAGAAAGAGCCAAAGGGAGAGAGCTGTGTAATTAAGCAAATAAATTTTACTTGACAAATTAAAAGCACTGAAAGTGGTCCAGCCACCTGCACGACAACCGTGTATCCTTGACGACTACATGTTTGAACATTCACACTAGGGCGCGCACACTCATTAATAAATGCTCAGTGATGAATAAACAACACTATATTGAATGTGTGTGTGTGTTTTTTGCGGTGTGTTCACTCACATATATGGCCTTCTGTGTGTAGCGGAGGTGCAGATTGTGAAGAATGGCCCCGTCATGCAGATCCTGTAGGGCTGCCATGTCCTCCACGCTGGTGATGCTGCTGCTGTGCATTGGGTAAACCCTCTGTCTGCTCACGGCGTTCTGTTTGTAGGTGTACACCTAAGCAAAACACACAATATATTTATTTTTTGTATTGAACATTTGTGTTATGACCATGAATGAAACAGAAAAGAGAACCATGTACAAAGAGAGATGAATATTTATGTTTGCGTTGATGTAAACCAGGTGTTAATTGTATATTAATGCACATTAATGCAAAATTTATTTTCCTTTTGCTTGCATAATGATTGCTAAAATTGTGTCATTTTTCTGTTTCCTCAGGCACTTAGCTGTACTAGTTCCAGGACTCTCATGTTACTCTGTACTTTTTTCTTCTTCTTTCAAAATAATCCTTTTCTATGCAAAAACAAAACAAAACAAAACAAAACTGCCACATAACCTGCCCAGGCTGGTCTGTTGGCACAATTAATAGGGTTTTAGGCTCAATTCAACTTGTTTAAATCAGACAGACCAGCATGAAGATAATCTAAACCAGCTGAGCACCAGTTTGGTCAGGCTGGATAGAGTAGCATATTTGAAATTTATTTATTCATCAATTTTCCTTTTAGCTTAGTCCCTTTATTAATCTGGGGTCGCCACAGCGGAATGAACTGCCAACTTATCCAGCAATTTCAAATCATCCTGACTTGACAAGGGGGTGGAGTCACAGGAACTGGGGGATGTATGGCATGACTGAAACTGGGGTGTGTATTAAAAGCATTAAAAGCAAATCAAAACGAGTGTTGCAGTTGACTTGAGAGGTTTTAAAAAGGCAATACTGGAAAAAATATTAAGCAAAATATGTATATTTTAAAAAATTGCAAATATTTAAAAAAAATTTGAGCTATTTGATTTTTATTTGCAGTTCTTTATTTTTGTTATAAAAAATACTTTATTTCTCATTTTTTGAGATTTGCATAATTATTATTTTTTGCTCAATACTTTATTTTTGGTTTGCAAAACTATCTTTTATGTTTCATGATCTTTTATGATCATTTCTCATCATCTTAAATTAAAAAAAATTGACGTATGACTAGGCATGGGACGATATACTGTAAGTATCGACAGTATGATAATCTGGATAAAAATTCCATGTTTTACGGTATTATGATTACTGCTCTAAAATATGTTCTTTTTAAATGTCTGGGTTAAAAACAAAAACTTTATTTCCTTTTGAACACAATATATTTCATTTTGAGAAACATTTAAAATATTTTGGAAGAATAAACATGTCAGGCTAAATTACTTATTGACTTTAGCTGTCTTCACTTGTTACTGTTTTCCTAAAAACATAAACAAATAAACGTAAATAAAAAATCATGCACATACCTTAGGAATGATATAGCAGAAAATGTTGACGGTTTTAAAACCTAGACTTTTCCAAACTGTGGTATACCTCAAAAACGGTTATCGTCCCATGCCCATGACAGCTGAGTAGAATCCGTAGGACTCTGAATAATAAACCCTGAAACTATCATCAACGGGGGAGAGGTTACTTGCACTTGTTTGAACTATTTTGGCCTGTTTTTAAACTTTTCCGTGTGAAAGAGAACCGCACCAAGAATAAAAATAAACACTGAAACAATTTTAATCCCTGTTTCAAAAGAAGTGAAGCGATCTACAGGTGTGAAAGCACCCTTAACCTCCTAGGACTTAATGGCCACATACGAGGACAGCACATTTTAGCTCTTAAGTGGCTATTTAAAATACTTTGAATGTTTGATATTTTATTACAGACATAAAGTGTCATCTACAGTAGCAACTGTTTTGCAGCATATCAAATGTCCCAAACACTATTTTTAACTGTGCAAAATGGGAAAAAACATGTTTAAAAAAATGTATATGTATTATATGCAATAAAAAACAGTCAGGAAAAAGTGTTTTATGTCAATTCGGACCACGGGTAAACATATATGGACATCATTCTTCTGATGATACTTAGGTTTTATTCTAATTAGGTTCCAATAAGCCAAAATAGCAAAGAGAAATAAAAATACATGTAAAAAAAACACCTAAGGCCTTAAGAGGATAAACAAACAAATTAAATTAGGTAATGTTCGAATTCATTTGTTTGTTTAAATTCAGCCCAATTAAATAGTTTGCAATCACTTACTTAAAAAATGTATTTAATCCAATGAATCATTATTTTTTTAGTGCACCAATACACAAAATGATACTCAAACTAGCCTATGAAAAGCAATAAAGATTCGGTAGGTAACAGACTGTAGACAAGGCAGCCAGACACAAGAGAAAGTTGCAAATGCATGACTGAACATACAAGAAGATAAAAAAACAGACTTAAACATTTCAAGAAAGTCGTTAAAACACAAACACAGACACTGCTCGGTTAACTGAGACTCCATGACGACAAACAGCCTGCTGATCTTTTCCAAACAGAAGTGTGTGTGTGTGTGTGTTTGTGTAAAATGAGAGCACGCCACCTGTTCAGCAGTGCGTTGTGATCTGAGGTGCACAGAGCAGATGTTCAGCCACTGCTCCCGTGTAATGCATACACCTACTTACCTGACCGTAGTCTGTGTTAAAGACCACCACTCCGCCCGAGCACGAGTCCACCGTACTGGGGACATAATGATCCTCCACCCAGAGCCACACACGACAACCCTGTCAAAAACACAAACACTGGTTATAACACACTGAACAATAGCAGCAGAGCCACCAGTGTGAAGTAATTACGGATCTGGAGATAAAACATGATGTTTGAGTGCATGCTGTGGGATAGAAATATCAAAAAATACAATACAAACAAATTCACAAGTCGACAATTTCATTGGTTTCTGTGCAGTTACAAAACTCTCACTGGGAAAACTCCACTATATTTACAGTCACTTCTTAACATTCAAAAAACATGTCGAAATCTGCGCTCTAGTTTTATTAACCTTTGTATACCCAAAGTACGCACTTCATTTGGTTGCCACTCTTTTCAGTTTTCTGCTGCAAATGCCTGGAATCATCTGCAGCAGATATTAGAGCACTTTCATTCCATTATCATCCTTTAAAAGTTTACTCCAGTTAATAGTAGATCACTGTGCATGTTTTTAGTTTTTCCTTGGTTTTATATGTTATTATCTACATCTGTAAAATTGTTATTGCATTGTGTCCTTGCAGCTTTATATCAGTTTTTATGTTGCCTATTGGCCAGGTCGTGATTGTAAATGAGAACTGGCTATCGATTGACATACCTGGTTAAATAAAGGTTATTATTAAATGATGTGTTAAAAAACTGTAAATATGTGAATTTCTGTGCAAAATCTGTAGCTTTGGATATGGAAAGTAACATTTGAACTGTTAGACAATATGTTTAGGTTACTTGTTGGTATGCAAAAACAGTACAATACATATCATTTCCATTGAAGCAAAAGTATTTTGTAATTGTTTGGTAAATTTGATAAACCGTTGAAAAAAAAAGATAGTACAAAAACAAACCTGCATTGCATGTTATATATATTATTCATTATTTAAAAATACACTCAAAAATATGTTTGCTTATATAATGTAAGCTGAAACAACACAATTTTTTAGGTATTTTTTGGGTCAACCTAATTGTTTTATATTCAATTCACTTAAATTTGTAAAAAACTAAATTAACTTAATTCCTTCATGTTGTCCCAACACAAATCGATTGTAAAAACACAAAAAACTGTTTGTAGCACCACGTGGAATCTGTAAACCTGGATTTTGAATGCAAAATTCTAAACAGTTTGCCAGAAATTTTAATCCCTATTTTATACCAATAGTGCTTTATTTGCAAATTTTCAATGCGATTTTATAATTGTATGCACACTGATGAATGGAAACAAAGCGATAGACATGTAATAAAGAGTACAAACAAGTCTCAGGTTTAGAATATTGTCTCAAACTGTCCTCATACTTGCCAATGCAATAAGACTGCAAATCAAATGTCAAAGATTTCGATATGAAGACTAATATTTCTCATCAGACCAAATCCTAAGTTATATTCATTACTTATTTTGTAGCTTTATGGTCCTGGAAGGCCACTGCACAGCAAAGTTTAAAGAGCTAGAACTCTTAAGAGCTTCGTTTATCTCTGGTACAGAATTGCACATTTTTTAGATGAGATCTGAGAGCTCTCTCATCCTCTAGACAGTAACAGATATGCAAAGTCCAGAAAAGGACCCAAAAACATTGCAAAAAACATTTGCATGTGACAAAGCTCCAATAACACATTTTTTTGTGCTAGAAAAACTGTAAAGACAACTTTCTTGTGCAGGGGTTGTTTTGTATTGCCTGTGCAGGGGTTGCATTGCCACACTTCCTAATCTGTGGTAGAATAAATTGGCAAAAAAAACAACAACAACTAATTTTTATAGATTTTTCAGTGCTCAAATGTGTTTTTGGAGTTTCATCATATGGTATGTTTTGACAATGTTTTTGGTTCCTTTTTGGGACTACTTTGTAACCGTCGCTGTCTACAAAGCAAGAGAGAGAGCCCTTTGAATTCTTCTAAAATAAATTAATTTGTGGTCAAAAGATGAATGAAGGTCTCTGGGGATTGAAACAACATGAGGGTGAGTAATTAATAACAGTTTTTTCCATTTTTGGGTGAATTAAACCCTTTTAAAATGACCTTAACTAAACACACCTGAACAAACTAATCATAGTCTTGGACTCATAAAAAAAAAAAACTTCTAGACAAGTGTGTTGAAGCTATAATGGGAGCTAAAATCTTGGAGGATCTTGGCCCTGCAGGTGCAGGACTGGACACCCTTACTATAGTCTTACTTTGTCAACAACAGTCATTTTTAACAACAATTGCCTAATTTTATGTCTCCAAATGAAGATAAAGTTGAGTCTTGATTAATTCTCAGAGCGATCTCATTTTTCTTTTGGAAGTCTCTCACTTACTCACTCACTCACTCACTCACACTCACACTCACACTCACACACACACACACACACACACTCTGTATAAGTGCACACGCTGATGGAAGAAACACATGGAGATCTGAACAGGCATGACTGGCAGTGAGGCCCCAGTGAAGCAGACATGGCTCAACTTTAACCCCATTCCCCACTTATACATACACACACATACACTTATCAGCACTGCATCAAACACTGCAGCATTGTTTTCAGGCCTGTGTTGAACTGCATTGTGGGTACAGTAGTTATAGAATTTGCAATGGTTCTAATAGAAAATTCTACTTGTTTAATTTGGAAACTACATTGGTCTTTTGGGAATCTACTGATAGTTTTATTGCATTCTATTGGTGGCACGTTAAAACCAAAAAGCCTGATGGAATTCAGTTTAACTTCAGTAATGGAATATGTCCCAAAACACACTAGAAATTATTCAATTGTACTGGTTTTAATGGTTAGAAAATGTCATTTAGTATTTGTAGTGGAAATCATTAGCTTCTGTGATGTTTTCTATTGTTTTTCTTTTCAGCAGGGTAGTGCACATGAATTTACTCATTTTTCCACATGGAAAACATCAGTCTGCAACCATAAATCAAATCAAACATGAAGACAACAAAGTGATTATGGCTGACCACAGTACAAATAGCCAGTTTTAAATCCAAACCATGGAATTTGGAAACTCAATGGAGGCCGTGTGGATATAAAAGACACTAGAGCTGATTAAGATGGCTTGCTATTAAAAATTCGCCATTGTTAACCTGTCATGCTCTCTGTCATCCTCTTATTCAGGCAGTGCAGCATGAAGTCAACAGCTCTTTATAACTTAGACAAGCAGAAACACACACAGAACTGCTGAATGATCAGACTGCTACAGAACAGCTGTGCAGCTGGACACACACACACACACACACACACACACACACATGCACACGCACACACAACACACACAACACACACACAACACACACAACACACACAACACACACACAACACACTGTTGAGCACTTTCTCTTTCTGTCCCAGAATTATGAAGGTAAATCAGTTGCGTAACTCGAGAGCTTGCAAATGTAAATGTGAGCACTTGTGATAATAATATTTGTATGTGTAGGTTGAAATGTACACTTACAGCTCTGATGTGAACAGCTGAATCCCTCGATTTGCACACACACACAACAATCCACACACTTGTGTTTTAAATTGGAAGTTGCAGATTAATAGTTGTGTATTTGTAAAATGTCATTTACAAATACAAAATGACAGACACACGTGTGCACGGCAAATTTGATTGCATCTTATCTCTACAACCACAGGTCGGCACTCACAACCTCTCAGATTCGTCAGTACAACTACAAATCTCCCGCGCTCTGACTTTTGCTACACATCTCCCGCTATCTCTGTAGCAGAACTCATCTGTGCACTCGCAAATGCAGAGGCGTGAGCAGCGCGGGGCGGGGGAGGGGCGGGGCAGGTGTAAAGCTGTTCGATTGGCTGATGCCTGACCAATGAACAGTGCCAGCAGCCAACAGGACTGAGGTGCAAAAGAATCATTTCCCACGATTATTTTATTATTTAGGGTTTATTTCAACTCTTTTCTGAAGAGATTCTTGTTAAAAATCATTAATTTTGCGGAAATGTACATACCAGTAAAAGAGCAGCAAAGCCAGTTTATTGGCTAGAGCCAGCCAATGAGATGGGGCGTTTCTGTTTGTCAGGACACAGGGCAGCTCACGTTGTTGGAGGCCTCGAGCAATCAGAGGGTAAGTTATGATTTTTAATAATTATCTATATGTTCAATACTGTTAGCTAAGCTAAGGACTGTGCTAGGTGCTTCTCTAGTTTGTTTTTTTTTTATATATAAGAAACAGTTATGAGTTATCTAGGAGTTGCTTTCTATCATGTTATATCGTTCTAAAGATACAATTCAACCCACATGAAATAAGTTGTAATAGTATTTATAGTAAATAATATTACGTTTTTGAACCATACTAACTATAGTAAACTGTATTATACTGTATATACTGCAGTATCTACAACTTTGTTAATGAATGCAACAGCACACTGTAATATTAACTAGCATGAACTTTAATAAATTGAAGTATATATATAGCTTAAATTTGATAAGATTGAAATATAGCTATCTGTTTAAAACTAAACATTCTAATGTCATTTATTATGCAAATATCAAGTTGAAACAAATCTGTTAAGAACACATATTTATATGTAAAACCTAATACATTTTAAAGCAGTTTCATTTCTTTCTGATTTATACATCTACATCCATTACATCTGATTTAGGTCCACAACTTGCATCCTTCAACATGATATGTGTGTTCAAAGGAAGAGCAACTAGGTGAGGGAGACAGTGTCCATCGCTCGGCTGAGGGTCCACTTTGAGCATCTCATCTGCAGGGTTAAGCAACATAAGCTGAACAGTCATCATCTCTCTCTATTACAGCGAGCATCAACCAGCTTTACACAATGGCTTGCTTTTTGCCCATTACTAAAGGTTTGAGCAAAGGATTAAAGAGGAGATAACATTTGATGGGTAATGATGAAGTTGAATTTACCACCTCCATCTCATTATGAACAAGGAAAAACCCTGAAATATTTCAATACAAGTAACTAGACATTTGCACTGCACTTATTTGCACTGTAAATTTTATTTGACAAATTAATGTTAAACATTTCCCTTACAGCACAGGTGTCAAACTCAGTTCCTGGAG